GGCAACATGCCACCAGATAATGGTAATCGTGATTATATCTACCATTTTGTTTTAAACCTGCTTTACTTTACAACATCAGACCCTGATTACGGTAGATATAATCATACCTAGCATTATCTGGTGGTATGTTGCCAGATATACCAAGTATTATCTGGTGGATTAGTTTTCTCCTGTATAAAAAAACTATCATAGTCTTTAAATTTATTTGATACACACTAATCTTGGTGTTCCATTGCCAACACACTTTCATAACAAGAACTGACCTAATTTTTAAAGTAGTAATAAAGGAAATTTCAAATAAAGATTCAAACAACATCCTTTAACAGCTTTAGATATTTTCTGGATGGTATGTGTGTTGTAGTCTTGTACATTGATATCTGAAAGATAAGAATCAAATATCTCCAAAACACAAGTTCCCAAAATGTTTTGCAAAGTAATATCTCAAACATAGAGAGCAAAGGAAAAGTAATAACATACGTTAACAAATGAACAGTATCTGTATTCACTATAAACGTGTATGCTTTTTACTTACTGACTGTTTTCTATGTTCACAGAATAACTGCAACTGGCTCCTGGAAGCAAGATTATTTAATGTCCATACAGGAAAAGGCCAGAAAAAAAGAATAAAAAAATAACACATAAAAGTCAGACCAGGGTCCTAGTGCTGTATCCCAGAATCCTTAGATTATCAAGGTCAATGATTATCCCAAATAAACATGTACAAAGGAGAGAGTCTACCATCTTGTATAACTCACACAAATATATGTGCCACTCCTTGAAATAGGCTTACCTCACCCCAGGGAGAAGACACAGACACAGGGTCAAATTGTTACAAGCTTCTATGGGACATCCACTGTACTATGTAACCCTTACCTGAGCAAGAGGATCAATGTATCTTTATAATCTTTGTAGATCCAGTTCGTCAAGGAAGACACAAACCACGAATAGAACACATGCATGATAATTTAGAAAAACATGAATATATCTGAATTAAGATAAATTTCTAAACTAATTTTGATTTCTAAGTGTTAATAATGACTAAATTGAAGGATTAAGTACTGAAATCTAGTTTCACCTGTTTTAGCTAACATGACCAGGAGAGAAAAAATTGGTATTTTCACTTCCTTCCATTACCTAGTTTTCTAGATTCATTGTCAAAATGAAAATTTTTAAACGTTCCAATGAAAAACAAGGACAACGAATTTCACATCTTCATTTTTCATAAGAATATACACACTCATAAACTCATCAGAATTCCTTCCATGACCCAAAACAAAAAATATTAATCATTAAAACTTTTTCATATGGTAAAAATTTTTTACTTTACACTTGTATTACAAAATATTTATCAAAGTGTTAAATAAAACCTTATCATCCACAGAAAGTGAATTAAAGATCAAACACGATCAGTTTAGAAAACTCAACCCTTTATTGCAAATTGTTGTACACACCGAAACTTTGACACACTATAAAGATGTGGCCAATAACTATTAATGAGCGTGATAAGAAAATTTTAATGTGAAATTTTCTTTCCTCCAAGGAAAAAAATTAGGTCAGTTTCTGTCAAGAAAATAATTCAACAATCAGTGTCTTAAATTAAATTTAAAACTAGGCTTGCCAGTTCCAAAATCCATAGCTCTACCACAGAGTCAAACCATGCTGCCATATTTGAAGACTCTAGTTAAAGGCAACATTAATACATTATATTTAATACACTAACTTTTAATTCTTTTTTTAACCACATTGTATGTTGTCTAACAGGTAAAATATGGCTACTTGTTTTAGGAAATATATTTACAAATAAATATTAATTCTGAAAAAGCACTCATACAAAATAGATATTACTGATGAAAATGTAACTATATAGCTAGAGAAATCTAGTCTGAACAATAACAATAATTTCTATAGATGCATATACCTGTAAAATGTTTTTTCTTCTTTTCTGTTGAACAGAAGTACAGACTGTGCAACTTGATCAAGGAATGCACTTTTTAAGAGTATAATTATTTAAATTGGTATAATATGAAAATTTATTGATTAATGAAAGAAATTATTTGGTATGGACACGGAGTGGATCCATGTTAAATGTCAATCAACCCTCACCCCCCTTCCAAATGTAAAATAAGAATGAAACATTTTGAAATTCAAAACGTAAATATATCATCAAAACTCTTACCATCTGCATCAATTCCTGCCAAGACATTAGACACATAGTATGGAAAAAATCTCTTATAGTACAGCATTGTGCTAATAAGCTGAGCTACTGCTGTGGTAGACATTTGTTTATGGTGCTCATTTTCATACATCTGTAATAAAGATATAATTACCGATTACACAACATCAGACCTTAAACCTGCTTTACTTCACAAAATGGTAGATATAATCATCGATTATACAACATCAGACCTTAAACCTGCTTTACTTTACAAAATTATCTGGCAACATACCACCAGATGATGCTAGGTATATCTAGCGACATACCACCAGATGATGCTAGGTATATCTAGCGACATACCACCAGGTAATGCTTGGTATATCTAGCGACATACCACCAGATAATGCTTGGTATATCTGGCAACATACCACCAGATAATGCTTGGTATATCTGGCAACATACCACCAGATGATGCTAGGTGTATCTGGCGACATACCACCAGATGATGCTTGGTATATCTGGCAACATACCACCAGATGATGCTTGGTATATCTGGCGACATACCACCAGATGATGCTAGG